ACGAGAAGAGTCGTTGTCGTCGACTGGAAAAAAATTTTTTTCGATATCTCGATGACGCGAGTCGACCTGGAATTTTTTTTAGTTTGAAATCCTCGTTTGCGTTTGTTTTGTTTGTTGTGATTCGAAATTAGAGAGAGAGAGAGAGAGAGAGAGAGAGAGAGAGAGAATTTTAACGTTTCCCAATCGGAAATCGTTATTAACAAAAGAAAAGAAGAAAAAGATTGCAGGAAACCGGAATCGGAGTTTTTGTTGTTACGTAATCCGTTTAAACACTCCGGTGTATGTCGAGGGGGGTGAGGGAGGGGGTCCAGAAGGGGGGAGGGGTTTAATTATTTCCAAAAGAATTTTAGAAACGTATAACACGCATCGAATGATTACATGTAAAATTGAAATTTTTTTTTTATTACTCACTCACTTTTTATCACTCACATCGCCTATAAAAAAAAAAAAAAACTTTCTCACCAACAATCACCAACCATCCATCTATCCATCCATCCACACACACACACACAATGTTGTAACACACATAATAATAATAATAATAATAATAATAATAATAATAATAATAATAATAATAATAATTACGTAATGAAATTAACCTTGATCTTCTTATTTAAAAAAAAAAATTTTTTTATTTAAATGTGGCCTATCGAGTAAAAAAAAAAAAAAAATTTAAATTTTTTTAATTTATAAGCGTTTACAAAAGTAATTAAATCGATGAACGGATGATGTTCTCTCTCTCTCTCTCTCTCTCTCTCTTTCTATCTATCTATCTATCTATCTATCTCTCTCTCTCTGTCATTTCCGGTTACCGAACGAACACGTAAGAAAATTTCGCAAGGTTTTTACAACGTGGCTTTTGTGTCGATGGAAAGTTATGAAAATTGATTTTCGTTTATTGTTATTAAATTAATGAGATGCGTTCGTCGCAATTGTTATTCGAATATCGATTCAAATGGTAATTTTAATGAGGTCAAATCAGGTACCCGTCGAGTGGTACTCATGATTTTTCCCCGTGCAAAAATTAACATTTGTTTAACACTAGTGACCCCGAAATGGCGGAGTCGAATCTGTTAATTAAATTGTAATATTTTTAATTACCGCGCACATTTTCCTCCTTCTCCTCCTCCTCCTTTTCCTCATACTTTCCAGTTTCTATCCTTCTATCTCTCTCTTTTTCTCTCTCTCTCTCTTCTTCCTACGCTATTTTTTTAATACTCGGTTCGAAATTGTATTTTTTGGTTTTTTTTTTTTATTAAAACGCCTCGGGGGTAAATTATTTTCTTAGTACTTACGTAAGGCCACCGGAGGGAATTTTTTTTTAAAAATATATATTTTTTTTTTTTTTCAAAAGTTGGCAACTTGAAAATTAGCATGTGTGGGAATCAAACGATCGAAACGAAGGTAAAAAAAAAAATAATAATAATAATAAAAGGAATGAAATGTACGATTTTTATTTGTTATTATTTACCCGGTTTGAAAATGTCGAAATTGTTGTGTAAGAAAAGTGCGTGTGCGTGGGGGGGAGGGGGAGAGGGGAGCACCTTGAAATCGTCGTCGCATTTCGACGATTGTTTTGATCTTATCCATGTTTTCCAATGATCGCCCGGATCAAAGTTCAAGTTTTTACTTGTTAAAATAATAATCGTGAAAATTGTTGGATTTAGCGTAAATGATTTTTCCGAGGTTTCGTTACCCCCACTTCCCTCCCCTCTCCTGCCTTCCTTACTTTTCCAGGTTCCAGGTTTTCAAATGTGAACACAAAAAAAAAAAATTAAATTTTTGAGTTGCTTAACATTCCAATTCGTTTTGTCTCCCGTTTTTGTAGCAAAAAAAAAAACGATTTTCAATTCGAGTTTTTCCTTTTTTTTACAACACGAACAAACGACGGCGCGACAAACGCGAAACCGTTTGTTTGTTTGTTTTATTGGCATACGCCGACGTTTTTTTTTTTTTTTTCTTACTACGCATTCCGGACGTTCGTGTATTAGGACGAGAGATCCTTAGTTTCGTCCGTTACATCAATTTAAAAAAATTAAACAAATGCCAAGTTTGTTTTGCAAGTTTCATTCCTACCTCCGTAAATATTATTTTGCAACGTTTGCACGATTACAAGAAGGCGGTGGACGATTTTTTCCCGCCATTTTAAAATTTCAATCCTTTTTCGTACGACTGATTCTTTCGAGCGATTAATTATTACCAATAATTGAATATGCAATCCATTAATAATAATAATAATAATAATAATAATCCATTATCGAGTAATTTTAAATCATTAACGAGTCGACGAAAATAATAATAATGATAGTGATAATAATAATGATTACACGTGCGCGCGCCGTAAATGCTATAAAATAAAAAAAAATTATTATTATTTATCGATTCGTTTGATTTTGTTTGTTTGTTTGTATTGTTTGTAAACAAACGGAAAAAAAAATTTAATTTTTAAATTACGAGGTAATAAAATGTGCCGTGAGGTGCTACCACTACTACCACCACCACCATCATTACCACTATTTACAAACAATTTTATAATTTTAAATTTTTAACTTTTTTTTATTGTCTTTTTCTTATTATTATTATTATTATTATTATTTTTGGAGAAGAAAAAAATCATTTGAATATCGTTTTGAGCTCAAGGATTTTTAAAAAAAAAACAAAAGAATTTAAAAATTTTTACCTCAAATTAAAAAAAAAAAAAAAAAAGAAAAAAGAAAAAGGTTGGAAAATTAAAATGAAAATGCAAATAAAAAATCACGAAATATTTAAAAAATTTTTTTTTTAAGGTCAAATTGAGTAAAATGAAAAAGAAGAAGAATAATAGGAAGAAGAAGAAGGGGGTAGGAGGGGTAGGAGGTCATACAAATTATTAAAATTATTAGGTCAAAAGTATTTTAAATAATAAAGGTTTTTTTTTTTTTTGCACACAAGGTTCACGCGGGATACACGCGATAAATCGTCACACGTCATACACCTTTTCTCGCGTAAAAAAATGGCGGTTCGCGAAATTATTTAGTATTTAATAAAGAAAAAATTCGTGTTTGTGTCGATATTAATATTATTATTATTATTAATGTCTTTTCAAATATTTATTCCAACGAAAATATTTACATTAGTTTTTTTTTTTAACAGGTATTTCGACATAGGTAGTCAGTCAGTCATACTCGGTTTAGGTTATTTCGTATTAATCGCGGTTATGTTAACCCGTTTCAAGGTCGATCGAAATAATATACGACGAGTGCGTACCTTGAAGACGAAAAAGAAATTTTAACTAAAAACACCCGAAAAAAAAAAAAAAAAACTATCATTATTATTAAATTAAAATTTCGGGTGAAATGAATTTGAGACGCGGTTCGAAAACGGTGTTTAAAAATAATACGAAAATCTGTCACGGTCGTCGTTCGAATTTTCTTTCATTTTTTGCTTTTTTTTGCATCGTTACAAATTTTTTTGGCATCTTAAAAAAAATTTTCCTCACATTTAAATTATATTTTGGCTTAATAATTATCGATGGAAATAAAGTGTGACGGATGTAAAAATAAAATTGAAAAAAAAAAACGTGATGGAGTAATAAATAAATGGATTCATTCTTTAGTTTTGGTCCTGATTGTATACTCATCGTGTTAACTTTTAATAATTTTCCATCTCTCTCTATCTCTCCCTCTCTTCCTCTTCCTTTCTCTCTCTTTCTCTCAGCTTTCTACGTTTACAAAAAAAAAATCTGAGAAAAATTGCGTTTTATACGTTTTATTTGTTGTACCTTGATGTGTACCTTGATGGATTGATGATTCCATTTTTTTATTTGTACAATTAATTTTTAAGATGATGATGATGATGATGATTTATCTTGGGAAAAAAGAAAAGATTTCGTTAAGATAAAAAAAATGAATTTAAAATTATTTAAATTAAATTTCATTCAAAAAAAAAAAAACGGAAAACCAAAATGACCGACGTCCTTGGTTTAAAGTCTGTGACAGAATAATGGGAAAATTGTGCCAAAAGTTATTTGCGGATCGTGGACCCCTCCGTGCTCCCCGCATCGGATCCACTTAATCATTTGCCTGGAATAATAATAATAATTAAACGGGGGGAGGGAAGGGGGAAATTTAAACGACACGAAAAACGATTAAATTAAATAAATTTTTTTTTAGGTCTTTTATTCTTCCATCCACCGCCTTTTTGCAACAAGAAAAATGGCGACCGTAACTTTCGTGAAACGTTATTTTTAGTTTGAATATTATACAATTTCATAGAAATGAAATTTTTTTTTTTTTTTTTTTGCCACCATATTTTGTAATTATCATTATTCACACGTACATAAAAAAAAAAAAAGAAAGAAAAACTGTTATGAGTAAAATTACATAAGACATGAAATTGGCAGTTGAAAGAATTTTTTTTTTTATTCGTTCCAGACAAAGATGATTTTTTTTTTAAAAAAATGTAACGTATATAATTTTAAATATTTTTTGTATTTCCTCTTAGTGAGGTCAATGTTGTTGTGTTAAATGAAATGGATAACAAAGAGTTTAACATATGACAGTATTACCAACGTGGGAAAAATAAAAAAAAAAAAATTTTTCGCGTTCGAATCGTTATTGTCGTCGTAGTGCAAATTTTGTAATTTTTTCTTTTTTAAAGATGATGAACGTGACTCTAATCATTGTTTGTTGTCGATGCGTTGTTGTTTGTTTGTTAGTGTCTTACGCCACGAAATTTCGCATACGGTTCTTTCTTATTTACAAATACTTGGCAATCAATGACATCCGCTATTTATTTATTGTTTGAAAAAAAAATTTTTTTTTTTTTTTTAATTAACAACGGTTAGCACGGACATATCGAATTTTTTTTCTGTTTGTTTGTTTGTTTCTCTCTCTTTCTCTCTTTCTCTTTTTGAAATAATATTTTTTTTTTTTTTGTATATTTTCAGAAATAAGAAAAAGGGAAGAATTGAATTAAATACATCACTCTATACGAGAATAAGAAGAGAATAAAAAATAAATATGGCGTTCATTAGAAATTATTATAATGATTTTACAGACCTCATGGATAAAACAGGAGGTGAGTTTAATTACGTGTATTATCATTATTATTATTATTATTATTATTATTATTATTATGGGCACATAATTAAATTTTCGATGACTTTTTTCGCGGAATTTTCCTTATGATAATTACCAACACTTTGGGTAATCGATTGATTGATTGAATTTTTTTTGGGGGGGGTGGGCGATGGGGAAAGCAAATGAGGGTATCGTTGGAGGTATTGAGGGTGGGATGGAGGGATGGAGGGAGGGGAAAGCAGTTTTTTTTTAACGTTATATATTTTTAACCGTTTCAGATCCGAGAACAAGGGAATGGTTGTTCATGTCATCGCCGCTTCCGACTCTCGGAATATGTTTATCATACGTTTATTTAGTCAAAGTCCTCGGTCCGAAATTAATGGAAAATAGGAAACCGTTTGAACTTAGAAACGTTTTAATTTATTACAATTTATTTCAAGTATTATTTAGTATTTGGCTCTTTTACGAGGTAAGAAAAAAAAGGAGAAATGACAAAAAAAAAAGGAATCACGTTTGCCATTTCCTTTTTTTCCGGCTCCCCCGAATTTTCTCTCTCACTCTCTCCCCTCATTTCCTTTAAAAAAAAATGAAGTGGCAGGTAAATTTCCTTAGCGGCGCGTGCCCCCCCCCCCCTAATGTTTTAAAAATGAATTTTTACAATGCAACCATTAAATTCCCTCTTTCCCAACATATCGATTAACTAAATTTTCTTTTTTTTTTTACTTATTAGCTCCCTTTTTAAAAATAGCGGGACTAATGATGATGATGACGAAAGCTTTTATACGAAGCGGAAGTTAAAAAAAAAAAAAAGCTTGGTTGATGTTTGGAAAGTTTAACGGAAAAAAAAATGTATAAAAAAAAAAAAAAAAATACGAACGGTTGTTGTTGTTGTAAAAGTACTAACAAGGTGAGATCACCTTGACCCACTAATGAAGAAATTTCACTCGGAAAAAAAAAAAACTAATCAGGGAGGGGGTCCATGTGATATAAATAAATTTTTACTTTACATGCAAATTCGAAAAAAAAGGAAAAACTGGAAACCGCCACTGCCACCGTCAGAAACCAACCAACAAACCCCTCGGGGGGAAAGAAAAATTTTATTTTATTTTTTTTTTTTTTATGAATTTTTTTTTTTTTTTTTGTTTCTAGTGCTTGATGGGAGGTTGGTGGGGTCAATATTCTTTTAGATGTCAACCAGTTGATTATTCCTCCTCTCCGACCGCCATAAGGGTGAGTGGCCAAAACATAAACATAAACACATAAACATTCAAACCCATTTCAAAAAAAAAAAAAAAAACAGACAACATATATTGGCCGCTCATGTACATACATATATATTTTTTTTTTTATTATTACATTCTCTATCATTTTGTGCGTACGTAATAATAATAATAATAATAATAATAATAATAATAATACTTACAATACGTTCGCGTTTATTTTTTTTTTTGTCGGTTGGGGGTGGGTGTCGGATGTGGGTGTCATGTGACTGTGTAAAAATTATTAACAAAATCGAAATCAAATTATATTTCTCTCACTCTCACTCTCACTCTCACTCTCTCACTCATTCTCTCTCTCTCGAAAACTTTTTAACATGAATTCATTTAACATTAGAAGAAAAAAATCAACATGTCGTCGTCTCGTATTAAATTTTTCTTTAGATTAATGGAAAAAAGGGGATGAATGGATGGATGGAAAGAAAGGGTTACGGTGGTGAAAAAGAGAAAAAAAACCGCCACCGTCGGCGCCACCTCCGCCACCGATTCCGTTATAATATTTACTTGTAAATAACTTACTCGTAAGGGATGAATGTCACCGCCATTTTTTTGTTTGTTTGTTTGTGGGCTGTGATTAATTTTACGATCGAAAATTAATTAATTAAAAAAAAAAAAACTTTCCGAAAGCGGGAAAACAAACAAACAAACAAACAAACAAATTAATTTTTGTAATTTAAATGCGTTTTTTCGCGGCCGTGGATTTTTCGACATTCCCAGGAACGCGATTTTTAAAAAAAATTTTATGATTATGGTATTTTTCCCGCCAATTTTATTTTCTTCCTCAATTCAAATTTTTTCCCGTAATAATAATAATAATAATAACATTAATAGTATTTTAATAACTTATTTATTTTTTCCTGTTTTTTTGCCCTTGAAAACAAAATAATAATAATAATAATAATAACCGTTATGAGAATGGCTGTAAAAAAAAATTTTCCATTACAAACCATTTCCTCCTATTATTTATATATTTTCCGATTTCCTTAAGGTCTCTGTATTTAAATATTTTAATAATAATAACGGTCGATCGATCGATCGACCTTCCTTTTTATTATCTCTATGGTAAAAAAAAAAAAATAACGGTCCACGATGTTCAAAAAGGCAGGCACTGTTCGATTGTTGTATTGATAATAATGAAGGCGGTGAATTAAGGTACCCCCCCCCCTATCGTAACGACGAAAAATGTTTCTCTCTCTCACTCTCTCGTTCTTTCTCTCTCTCTCTCTGTCACAAATCGTTTATTCGTTACTTCCTTTTTGAAAAATCCAACATGCGAAGTAATTCCTTTTTTTCTATTTATTTATTTTTTGAATTTATTTTTTCACGGTGTCTGGGTTTTCTTTTTTTTTTAATTGTTGCCTCCGTGTGTCTCATATATTTCCAGATAGGTATGTCAGGTTGGCTGACTGGACATTATAGCTACAGCTGTCAACCGGTTGATTATTCGAATCATCCCGAAACGTTAAGGGTAAGTATACTCACTCATCATGTATTATGCGCTGCGTTTTTTTTTTTTTTTTTTTTGGAAACTTTTTCCCGCGCGAGCAACAAGACGAACGAATTTTTTATTCTCGCATGTATATCTATGAAATGAAATGAAAGGATGAACGTGTGAGATGATATTATTTCCGGTGCGGCCATTTTTATTTTTCGCATGATATTTGCATGGAATAATTTTGCAAAAATATATATATATACATAAATAAATGAAAATTTATTGATGCTTTTATTGTTTTTTTTTGTCATCATTTATTTATTTTCTTGTCATTTAAAAATAAACGTATTAATAATAATAATAATAATAATAAATTTTCTATTATTCATCAATCAGTATCTTTTTTATATCATGGCCAAATGTTTGTCTGATTTATTTCATTTATTTATTTATTAATTTATTCAATCATTCATTTATTTATAAGTTCGTTTATTAAATTTTAAATTTAATTTTTTTTTACTAAAATTATTGAACGAATTAATAAATTTATTAAAAATTTATTTATTTATTGAAAATTTTTCAGATGGTACACGCGTGCTGGTGGTATTATTTTTCAAAATTTACGGAGTTTTTCGACACGGTAAGAACAAAAAAGTTTTTCTTTCTTGCAATCACTTCCGCTTTACGCACTTCCGCAATACGTTAATTAACGGTTTTTTTTAATTTTTTAACCGGAAGGAACTTTTCTTCCTCATTCGTTAAATATATAATTGTTTTGTTTGAAATGATCGGCGGTATTGCCGCTGAGAAAATTTTAATGATGAATTTTATTTGTTTGTTTGTTTGTTTGTTTGTCTGTCTGTTTTGCCGTTCGGCGAATTCAAACGTTCGTCGGAATCCAAAAAAAAAATTCTTTTCGAGACTTTATATTATTATTATTATTATTTTTTCAGTTCTTTTTCGTTTTACGTAAGAAAAATCAACACATTTCGACTCTTCACGTTATACATCACGGAGTCATGCCCATGTCTGTTTGGTTCGGTGTCAAATTCACTCCTGGTAAGTTTATAACAAAATAAAAACAAACAAACAAACAAACAAACCAACAAAAATGCGTTCTTCGATTTCAAAGGTGTGCGTCGCCTAATGATGCAAACCAAATCCGAGAATAGGCTGCTGACTCGATTTAAAAATGTTTGTACCTGAATAAACCTAATTATTTTTATTATTATTATCATCCTACGCTTTTTTTTTTTATTAAATTGCTGAACATACACTGACTCACTGACCCAATTAAACACATTCGAGCCTTGTTGCTATTATTATTATTATTATTATTTATTTAGTATTATTATGATTGTTATACTTTCTTCTTCTTCTCCTCCGCGGCATTCGCATGACATGTGTAACATTACCTTTACTCATTATTCTGTCTCTCTCTCTCTTTCCGCCCTCTTCCCCCTTTCTTCCCCCCTTTCCATTTCTTCATTTCCTTATACCTACGAATTACATTGAAAGAGGCAAAATCAATTAAAAATTATTTAATAATTAATGACTTCCTGATTGCGAGCGGGCGTGAGGCGAGATGATGATGATGATGAAATACACCGGAAATCTAGAAATTTCTAAAAAGTTATTTAAAGAAAAAAAAGGGGGCTGGGGTTGAAAGAGGGGAGGGGGAAACGAAAGGAAACGGAAAAAGAGGAGATTATTAAGATGTCGGCCATTTTTTTTTTTTTGAAATTATTACAAACAAATAAAAAAAAAAAAGTTTGTTGTTGTTGTTATTATTATCATTATTAGTATCGAATGCGTTAAATAATATCGATAAGAATAGGGATAGTAATAATAATAATAATAATAATGGAGTTATAAAATTAAGATTTATTATTATTATTTAAGAAAATGAAATTCAATGAATTTTTCAACATCGTTAATTTTTTTTGTTTTTTTTTTTTTTGTTTTATCAGTAGTAAGTAACGTTGTTGTTGTTGTTATTGTTTGTTTGTTTGTTTTTTTTTATTTCTTGTACAAATGTCGGTGTTGAAAAAATAAAAAATAAAAAAAACACCTTTACTTTAATTTCTTTTTTTTTTTTATTATTAACTATCAAATTTTATTACGTTTTTTTTTTTTTTTTTACAATAACAACAAACAACAAACAAAATTAAATAATAATAATAATAATAATAATAATAATAATAATAACAATAACATTAATAACGGCTTAAAAAAAAGAAAACGTTCGCGAACGGAAAAATGTTTTTTTTTTTTTAAAAAGTTTTCTTATCTCGATAGATTTATCAATCGTACATTCATTAATCGATGTTTGTTGTTGTTGTTGTTGTTGTTACTATTTCATTTTGATTTATTAATATTAAATTACATTTTTTCTCTCTCTCTCTTTCTCTAGGTGGTCACAGTACTTTTTTCGGTCTTTGCAACACTTTCGTTCACATAATTATGTACACGTATTATTTGATTGCGGCTCTCGGACCACAATATCAAAAATTCATTTGGTGGAAAAAATACCTGACAGCTTTTCAAATGGTAATGGTTTTTTCCATTTTTTTCTATTTTTTTAAGGGGGGGGTGGGGGGTTGTGACGTTCCGAACGGGGGTCGGAGTCACGATCGCGCTTCTTGAAGAGTTGGAAGCCCAAAGGGAACATACCCCGAACGGATCGATATCTCCGAAATAATATTCTTTTCTAAGGTGACGTTTTATTTTCCAGGTACAATTCATCGCCATTATGGTTCACGCTTTTCAACTCCTTTTCATCGACTGTAATTATCCGAAAGCTTTCGTTTGGTGGATCGGAATGCACGCGGTCATGTTTTACTTTTTGTTCAATCAATTTTACAAAGAATCGTACACGTCGAAAAAACAAAAGGTACGTCGAGTGTAGGAGAAAGAGGGGGGGAGAGAGAGAAGACAACGTCTGAGAACAAAAAAAGGAAAAAACAAATTTATTTATTGATTCCAGGAGAGTAGAAAACAACAACAACAAGGTAGCGAACCTGTTGAAAATGGAGAAACCGGCAAAATGATTAAATCCGGGTCTCAGAATTCAAATAACGGAACCATCAAATCATCGAACGTTAAGAAAAACGCATCAGATTATTACATCACTCCAGATGAAGTCAGACAGAGAGCGCAACAGCATCAGCAACAGCAACAGTCGAATCATCATCATCATAATCATCTCTCGAATAATTAATAATTAATAATTAGGAGAAAAGGAAAAACCTAATTTAATTTTAATTTCGTTGAGCTTTTTTTTTTTTTTTTTAAACAAAATTGTCATCCCTTTTAATATTATTATTATCATTATCATTATTATTTAAATTATCTAAAAAAGGAAAGAAAGGAAAGAAAGGAAGTAATGAAAAAAAAAAATGATTTCTCGAAATGAATTGAGAGGGAAGAATTGGAATCGTCGATATATGTGGATATCGATCGATCGATCGATCGATATTCGATTATCGATTATCGAAAATGGTTGATAAAGCAGTAGATATTAAATTTTTCTTTATCAAAACAAAACAAAATGTTAAGTTTATAGGTGGTAGCCGTCCAAGCTATTAAAAGCTCTGCTCTTCCTCTTTAATTTTTTCTTCCTTCCTTTTTTTTTTTATCGCGCTTAAATTAGTGATGAAAACAAACCTTTATTATTATTATTATTATTATAAATATAATAAAGTGATTAAAAAGGTGGTGGCAAGTAAAAAAAAGAAAAAGCTCAAAATATTTAAAAAATAAAGTCGGAATGAAAAAAAAAAAAATTTAATAATAATCATTGATTGATTGATAACCGTGCGATTATTCGAATCGTTTTTTTTTTGTTTTTTTTTTTTTTTTAATTTTTTTTATTTATTTATTATTATTATTATTAATATTTTATTTTATTTTTTTTTTTTCGTTTTATTATTTAAATTTTATTTCGACCAAAATATAATGAAATTTAAATTATTTTATATGTATATATATATACATATACATATATACATAGAGTGAGAGAAGAATTAGTTGTTATTATTATTATTATTATTATTATATTTATTTACTTAATTGAAATTTTTATGATTTTGTAATATATTTATACATATATATATACACAACTTAATTATTATTATTATTATTTCATTCCAAAGAAGAAAATTTTTTTTTTTTAAATTAAAATCATTCCATATAATTAATTAATTAATTATTGATATTATTATTATTAATTGTTTTTGTTATGTTTTTATTTTATTATTTTTATTTTAATTATTAGAATTGAAAAGTAAATTAAAATAATAATTATATAAAATTGGAAAAAGGTTAGAGAGAGAGAGAGAGAGAGAGAAAGAGATAAAAACAAGAAATGATGATTTTTTTTCATGTTAATTAGTTATTATTATTATAATAATAATAATAAATGATATTTATCTCATTCTCACATTCCAGTAATAAAAAAATAGAAAGAAAAAAAAAAAAATTTTTGGGATGAAATATGGAGAAAAAGAAAAAACCGACGGTTAAATACCTTACTTAGCTTATATTGTTGTTGTTATTATTATTATTATTTTTTAAAAATAGTAAATGTATTTTAAAATAATAAAATTCATATTACTTATAAATAGTAGTAAGTAAAGTTATAACGTTAAACGCTCCTTTGTTTTTTTTTTTTCAGTTTTTATTTTAATAATCGTTTCGTTTGAATAATAATAATAATTATTATTATTATTATTCGTTTTGTCGTTAAAAAGATGAAAGAAAATTGTAATTTTGTTATTTTATTTGGTAATTGTTTTGACTAACGTAGTAATTTTTTGCTTACCCGACAGCCAATCAGAAAATTTTAAAATTTAAAAACGTTCGAATAAATTTTGAATAAGTATTAACGGTCAGTTAAAAATAAGCGTTCCGTGCGTTTTTTTTTTGTTTTTTGTGATTTATTTCGTTTTTTTTTTTTTTTTTGTTTAATTATCAGGGTTTTAGGGTAAGATTATTATTATTTAATATCATTAACAATATTATTAATGTTACTTTTTTTTTGAAAAAGAAATTATTTGCATGTTGTTCGTTTATTATTATTTTTTATTACGAAATGATGGTAACGTATAATCGCCGTAATTATATTTAAAAAAAATGATTTATTCGTAATATGAATTATTAATTTTATTAAAATATCGTTAAGCTGGGTACTTAACAAATAAACGCTTCATTAAAATCAAAAATTAAAATTTTTTGTATATATATATATATAAATTATATATTTTATACACATTTAATCGAATGCAAAAAAATGAATTTTTTTTTATTTCTTTATAAATTTATAAACGAAAAAACGTGATCGATTAATTAATTATTTCTTTAGTGTGTGTGTGTGTGTGCGCGTGTGTGAGTGAGTTTGGGCACGTGTATCTTTTCTTCACACGTGTTAAAACACATATTTTATTTGTTACCAAAATTAATAACTAAATAGATATGATACATCATATGCAATATTTATTTATAATAATCCATTAATTTTTATTTTTATTTAGTGTTGATTATTATTATTATCATCAAATTTTTGCCTTGTGTGTATATATAAATTGCTCAAAAATTAAATAAGGTTTTAGTGGCTAAAATTTTACAAAAAAAAAAAAAAAGAGATAAAAAGTTTTAATTGTGTAATATTATATGGGTTATATTAACTTATTATTATTGTCTTCATTGATTTTAATTTTTTTTGCTTGTTTTATTATTATTATTTAATATTATATATTGTAAATAATTTATGATTTTATTTTGTTTTTTTTTTTTTTTTAAATTATATTTATATAAGTATATATATATTTCGTTCGGTATTATTAGTTTGAGTAGTTTTAATAACTGTGTAGATAATAATAATCGACTAATAATAATAATATTTGATGAGTGAGAACAATATATAATAATTATATAATATTAGTAATTAATTTTTTTTTTCTTTTCGTTTTAGCTTTTTATTATTATTATTATTATTATTATTATTTTGTTACAAATGATATTCTTTTCCCTTTTGCATTTAAAAAAATATTTTATTGCTTTTTTTTTTTTTTAGACACATAGTAGTTAAATTAATTATTAGCACGTTTCCTGTATTTAGTTTATTGAAGTAAAAGTATCTTTGACGTCATCATCGTTATTATTATTATTATTATTTATTATTACGTTATAAATTATTATTATTAATTAATCGAATTTAGAAAATTTTCAAGAGTGAAATAATAACGTTTATTTGCTTTGCTTCAATTGCGCGTAATAATAATGATAAAATAAAAAAGTCGTGTAATTAGAAAAAAAAAGTTTTCGTAGTCTTAGAACGCCATGTTCGATGACGTAGAAATTCAAAATAAAAACATTTTTTTACGAATTATATGTAATTAAATAATAATAATTTAAATATGTCATACAGTAATTGTTAAATTAAATTTGTTTATTGTTTTTTTTTTATTTTTTTTTTTAAATGTTTCATTGTATATAGTTAATTATTATTATTATTATTGTTTAGTGAATAATTCAAAAATATGTTTAAAAAATTAAAAGATAAAATTGAAGAGGAGTTTAAACAAGCTCCAATAAAGTTTCCCGTATCAGTACAGCAGTTAGCACAGGTTAGCAATAATTATTTTCTTTTTTATAATTATAAATTTAAAATTTTTTTTTTTCTAAAACATATTAGTATTTGTTTATACGTTATTTGATTCATGTTACACCATTGTCCTTTTTAATGTATAACTACCTATATATATATATATATGGTTTAAATTGATATCATTGACCTAAAAAAAAAAAAATCTGGTTATGTTTTATTGATTAATAAAAATGATTATTATTATTATTATTATTAATTTTCAGGTTATTTCTCCTTCTCCTTCAGTAAATTCATTAACAGATAATAATAATGCAAGTTCTTCATTTAATTATTCAACCGATATACCAAATGTTTCGACAAATCTTTTCAGTATTGGTGGCGATGATGGTAAGTGGCTAATGTTACTAAATAAATAAAAGGATAAATTTTTATTTTTATAAACATTATTAAAACATTTTTTTCTTTTTTAAAATTATTTAGATTACCAAGATGGAGCTGGAAAAATGCAACTCACATTGCAAAATGTCGATTTGACTGCTACATCTCCGTCCAATATGACTCATGGTGTGAGTAGAAGTAGAAGATCATCGCTAAGTTCAGTTACCAGTGAACCTCCTTTATTTCCTATTTATGAATCAGGATTAAATCAGAATTTTTTACAGGTATTTTATCATAGCCTGATAAATCATACTTTTAACTCGAATAGTTTTAACATGTGAATACACTTAACGAAAATTAAAATTTTTACTTTAACAGAGTGATATGGAATCTGAATTCGAAGATGGATTATCTGGACAAATAGAAAAAATATCTAAAGAGCAATTATATCAAAGTTTTAAAAAAATGTTAAATAGGTACAACAAGTACAAAGGAAGATATACAGATTTATTAAAACATTATAAAGAACTACAACATGAAAATTTCAAAACGAAAAATGTTTTACAAGTAATAATAATAATATCGAGTTTCGAAAAAAAAAATTTTATGACACTCCTATTGAATTTAATTCAATTGTGGGTTATTTGTTTTTTTATAGGAAAGTCAGGATAAAGCTTTAAGACGTATGGCAGAATTAAGGGAACAATGTCAATTAGAACAAAAAGCCAAAGCTCATTTAGAAGAATCATTGAGAAATGAAATAGAAGATAGAGATCATAAAATTGGTACACTAAGAACAAAAATATCATTACTTAACAACAATGGAGAAAGTAATACTCAGTTAATCGATTTAAGTAATAGTAGTCAGGTAAGCATTGTCTCATTTCAGAGTTTCTTATCAGTTAAGTAAATAGAAATTTTTATTTATTTATCTTTATTTATTTATATAAAAGTATCATAATATGATGATAAATTTATTTTTTCTCTAATTTTTTTTTATATATTTTGTTTCAGGACGAGGGAAATTATAAATCGGAAAATTTATCTGCGGAATTAACTCATTTGAAAAATCAAAATAAAGAATTGCAAACGGAAATAGATAGGTTGAAAAAGATAAAAGAAACGGCCTGTCATTTAGTACACAGGTGTGACACGACAATGAATGAAGCAACGGAAGATATAAAAAGTGATACGTTGAAACTAAAAATGTCGGAATTAAAATCGGAAATACAAAAAATGAAATCGGAAAATGAAAGTCTTAGTCATTTGCTATCGAGAAATATAATTACGGAAGATGATAAAAAGGTACAAGGTTCCGGTGATGGTGATAATTCTTATAATATAGAATCTAGTCAAGATGATAATAATATTAGTGGTAGTAATAGTAGTAAATCAGACGACAAAGATAAAAAAATTGAAAAATTAAATAATTTATTATTAAAATGTAAAGAAAAAATAAACGAATTGAATTCCGAGATCAAAGCTAAAAATTTAATAATAGAAAATAATAATAAGACGTTGAAGGAATTGAAAGAGGAAATGGAAAAAATAAAAGGAAACGAATCGACGGAAGCGGAAGAGAAAATAATTGCCGCACGGAAAGAAATGGATGCCAAGGAAGAACAAATAAAAACATTGACGAAAGAATTAAAAACGAAAGAAAACGAATACGTAAAAGAAAAAAAAGAAATGGCGGAAAAATACGAAAATCGAATCAATGAAATCACGAAAGATTTAATGAATCAAATAAAAATGAAAGGGGATGAAAATAAAAAGTTGTCGGATGAATTAAAAGCGAAAAAAATTGAAAGTGAATTTTTTGAAAAAAATAAAAAAACGGATATGACGTCACTTTTCGATATGATCAAAAGGAAAAGTTTAGATTTCGATGAATTGGCCAAAAGGAAAACGTCCGAGATAAAAGTGGCACAAGACAAATTAGAAAAACGAATGACGACCGTTAGAAATAATCTCGATCAACTTTTTCATAATCATCAAACCGTCCGGGAAACGGTTAAAGAAATTGAATTCGTTCAACAAAAAATTCCGGAAACGGAAACGATGAGAACGAACAACGACGCGGCGGAAAATTTTCACCTTATTGAAAAACTCAAATCCGATGTTACGAATCTGACGACGAAAATAGACATTCTCGAATCCGAGTTGAAAAATGAAAAAAGTCAATCGTCGATAAACGAAGAAGAAATGAAAAGGTGGAAAGAAAAATGTTCGGAAATGGAAAATGAGCGTGAAAACGTCGTGAAAGAACGTAAAGAAAAATCGTGTGAAAATGAAGAATTGAAAAAAGAATTGATTGATAAAAATGAAAAAATAAAAAAATACGAAAACGAAAAAGAAAATGCGAGAAAAGAAAAAATTGAAACGGAATCCAAATTGAAAGAATACGTTGATAAATACAACAAATTGGATGTGGAAAATAGAAAATTACAAAACGATTTGATGGAAAAGTGTGGAAAACTTGTGAAGGATTTAAACGAGACAAAGGAAAAAGTTAAAAATTTAGAAGAGGAGAAAAAGATGAGGGGAAAAGAATGGAAAAAATATTTGACGCAAAAGACAAAACTAACGGAAAAAATAAAAGAATTTAAGAGAGAGTGGGAAAATGTAAAAACCGACGCCGTGACGAATCGTGAAATTTTCACGGACGGTATGGAAAAATTAAAATTCGTTTGGGAAAAATCATTGAAATCCATCGCGGCGGAAACGGAAGGAATGAAAGCGGAAACGTTGAAAAAAGACGATGAAATAATTCGATTAAAATCCGAATTGGAAGAATGGAAGGGAAAAGTTGAAAATTTGGAAGAATTGGACGTCGTGAAAAAGGAAAAGGAAATAAACGAAAGGCTCAAAAACGAATTGGAAGCGCTGAGAGGAAATTTAAAAGGAGAACTTAAGGAAAAAGAAGAGAAAACGATTTTGGTCGACAAGTTAACGCAAGAGTGTAATCTCCTGTTGGCCGAAATAGAAAATTTAAAGAAAACTCATTCGAACGTGGAAAAAAAATTAGAAACGGAATTGCAAACGAGTAGACAAGAAACGAGCAAAGAAAAAGAAGCGAATGAAAAATTACAAGAGAAAATAATGGAAATGTTGAAGGTCGTGGAGGGAAAAGAAAACGACGTGAAGGAACTAATTGAAAAAAATGATAATCTAACGGTTGAAAACGAAAACATGAGGGAAAAGTTGAACGAAAGGGAACGAACGTTCGAGGCGGAGGAAACAACCGCAACCGCAACAACAACAAACGATGAGGAGAAAATTCAAAACGGATTAAGCGAAGAAAAGAAGATACAAGAACTAAACGAAAAAGTATTGAAATTGACAAACGAAATGAACGAAGCGTTCGGAGAGATACAAATGAAAAACAACGAATTGGAAACGTTGAGAAACAGTTTGAAAAGTATGAAAGAAAATTTCGAAGAAAGGGAAAAACGTCACGAAGAAGAAAAACTTCGTCTCGCGACGGAAAACGAAAACAAATTGAACGTTTTGAAAAACGAAATCAAATACATAAATTCGAAACACGAGGAAGACATCGGGAATTACGAGGAAAATTTAAATACGGAAATGAAAGAAGCCAACGAGAAAATGGTTATGGCGGAAAAAACGTCGGCGGAAATATTGGAAAAATTGGAAAAGGTGACAAGCGAAAGAGACGAACTCAAAGCGAGAGAAGAAGAAAAAAATTTAAAAATGGCTGAACTCGAAAATTGCATGATGGCTTTGAAAGCGGAACTAGATGATAAATTCAACGAGGATGAAAATAAAGCGGAAGTCGCGACGGAAAAACACGGGGAAGAAGTCAAGAGTATAATAATGAGATACGATAAAGAAATTGAAGATAGAGACGTGGAAATAGAAGCGTTGAAAAAACAATTGGAAAGTAAGTTTTCTTCGGTGGGGGTGGGGGTGCGGCGTTTGTACGCAACTTTGAATTAATTGACGTTTTTTTTTCTCTCTCTCTCTCTCTCTCGCGCACGGAAAGGGATGGAAGTACCGGAAGATGTTTACAACAAACACAGAGACGAAATCAAAAAAATTATAATTCAATACGATTCGGAAATTGCAGAAAGAGATGAAGAAATCGAAACGATGAAAGTTAAACTCTTGGGTAATTTTTTGTTGTTTGTTTGTTTTGCGTTTTCTCTTAAAAACGTTTGTATGTTTGTTTGTTTGTTTGTTTGCGTTGCAGATCACGAAACGACACTCGAACAATTACATTCGGTCGTGGAAGAATTAAACGCGACGAAAAATAAACTTTTAGAAAATGAAAAATTACTACTACTCGAGAAAAATTCAAAAAGGGAAAAAAAAGGAAAAAGAAGTGACGATGATGATGATGATGATGATGTTGATGAGACAAACGTCGCGAAAGGGAAAAACGTCGACGATGGTAATTTTTCCCTGTTGGAAATGTTACGACACGAAAGGAATCATCAGCAAAATATGATAAATGAAACGAACAAAGTAATAATTTTATTACTCTATGACTTTTCTTTTTGTTTTTCTTTTGAAAAACTTTTCCTTTTTTCTTTTTTGCAGAATTTGTTAAATAGCAAACCGGAAATCATAACCGAGGAAATTTTAGAAGAAGTCGTGAGTTTTCATTTTTTTTTTTTATGAAGGAAATGAAAGGAAACAAACATGGATGACACTTTTTGTTTTGTTTTTCACAGGAATTGGAACCTGAAAGTAAATCTTTGGCGAGTTCAACGTTGGAAAATTCCAACAACAACCACAGGAATTCAGACGTGAGTTCGATAGAAGTTTTGCAAAGGCAACTCATACAACAAGCAACGGAAATGAAAGAATTGAAAAAACAATACAAGTATTAATTATTATTATTATTATTAACGTTCATCTTTTTTCAATTATTATTATTATTAATTTTCTTGTTCTTTTTGGATTTCGTAGGAAAGAAATATTCGAATTGAAAAAATTGGGAGCTAAGAAAAAATCTCGGAAAAATTCACCGGATGCACACGATTGGTATTACTCGTCGGTTGGGGGGGGTTTGGAAAACGACACGGAATACGAATACCTGAGAAACATTTTGTACGAATACATGATGGGGAAAGAACAAATGGTTTTGGCAAAAGTTTTATCCGCCATTGTTAAATTTAACGACGAACAAACGCACAACGTATTGGAAAAAGAACAACAAAGGCAAACTCTGGTGAGGGGCGGAGCGGGGGGACGGAGCGGAGGGATTTTTTCCCAATTGGAAAATCCCCGTGGAAATACATATCTAAATTATCATTATTATTTTGTTTCAGTTTGGTCAATTGGGATTATTATAACGACACGTTTAAATTCCGGAAGGAGGAAAGAAAGGAAAATTGAATTTTTTGCCCTTCGACGAAAGAGGAAACCGGAAATGATTTATTGTTTGTTCGTTTGTCGTTTAGGCGGCGACGTTGGGATTATTTAAAAAAAAAATTAAGCTTTGTGATAATAGCTTTAGTTAACATATGTAATCAATCGATCGATGTTGTGGAGGAAAATTAATTAATTAATAAAAAAGTAAAGTTGGATGTAAATTTAACAAATAATAATAATAATATACATAAATAGTTATTTATATAAAATGTGTATAAATATTTATATTATCGAAACTAACATTTTATTATATATTAATATATATCTATTTACTTCGTATATGAACGAATTTTTTTTTTATTATTTTACGGTAATAATAAATTCCTGCCATATTTCCCTTCTTCCCAAATCTTTTTTTAACTCATAGAGAAAATAAACGGAAACGGTGGTAACTTGTAATAACGGAGGCTTTGCACGGCATTACCATGGAGTATAATATAATTACATGCAATATTTATTTTTTCGTGCAAATTAATAAAAAATAATCAACGTGTATTTATTTATAAGGAAATTATTTTTTTTTTACTCTATGTAATTAGTAAATAAATAAATAAACAAACAAAAGCATTTTTTAATAATTTTTAATTTTTTTTTATATTTAAATAATTTTTTCCTCTTATACAAATAAAAAAAAAAAAAAATTATTTTTTTTTTCTTTTCGATTCAGTCTTTTTCTTTTCTTAATAACATTTTGTTTTTGTTTTTGTTTTTTTTTTTTTTTAATTATTTTTAAATAATAATTTTATTCTATAGTGGGGGGTAGGGAGGAGGAGTAGGAGTTTATCATCATTATCATCATCATAATCATTATTATTATCATTTAGTTATAATTTTTGGATCAAATTTTTTCTACACGACACGCGCGTCAGAGATTTTTTTTTTATTTTTTTATTTACTCTATGCAAAAATCAACGGAGGGACAGAGAGAGAGAGAGAGAGAGAGAGGGGGAGAAAGAGAACGGAGATCTCGATGCCCAACATCATCATCAACCCTTATCACAAACATTATTATTATTATTATTATTTATTGTCATCAATCTCAATCGTCGCCGTTTTTTCTTTTTAAATTTAAACGCGTCCCTGAATGAAATTTTTCAATCTGTTTCCGGTACTACAAACGCAACGCGCGTGTGTGTGTGTGTCGCGTTACTTCCGGTTTTCCCATCATCAATCATCATCCCGGAAAACTTTTTTCAAACGACGATTCTTTTCTCGTTTTTCGCGTCGAGTATCATCCGTTCCCTCTTTCACATTTTCTTTCTCTCTCTTTCTCTTTCTCTACATATATATATATTTCTCTTTCTCATCATCTCTGAACGAGTGTGTGTATACACGCACACACACACATATACATATATATATATATAAAAAAAAAACTCTTTTCTCCAACCTGCACAAAAAAAAAAAACCTTATTTACTTATATACCCGTTTTTACGACTTATCATCATCATCATCATCATCCCTTGAGCAAAAAAATTTTCTTTTTTTTTTTCTTTTTCTTCTTGTTCAACCTGACTCAATTATCATTATTATTATTATTGTTGTACCTAATTGTAGAATGTACGTTTAAAGTGTGTACTTTTTTTTTTTTGAAAAGAAAAATCAATCAAAAATAATAATAATAATAATAATAGTAGTAGTAGTAGTAGTAGTAGTTGAAATAATTGTGGCATCGTCGGGTACTTGAGGAGGGTGGCGGTGGCGGTGGTGGTGGTAGTAGTAGAGAACGTCGGGGAGGGGTTGGGGGTGGGTGGGGAGACAGATGGAAATCGATAGGGAAAAAAATTCGAATCGGAAGGCGACAGGGCAGGCCATAGAGGATGAAACATTAACCGCTCGGCGATGCCACAACCGTTTGACTCGCTACCAACTTTTCATTTAATTGAATCGGCTGTGAAGATAGTAAATTACTGTACACCGAATCCGTGAGTTTGTCTTGACGACCGCATTGACTTCCGGTTTGTGATTTGGTAAGCAATCTTCTTTGCATCAGTCTTGATTCGCTTGGCGGTGACAGTCCGAATACTTCACCTTTTTAAGAACAAAAAAAAACTGTTATGTAGATTTTCTCAAAATCACGAGTGCGTGTGTGCGTGTCCGCCATTTGCAAAAAATTAATTTTATAATACTACTCATTCATTCATTCATTCATTCATTCACCTTGATTATTACTAAGCTTGGCAGTCTCAACAGAATGTTTCGGAATCATGTCGATGTTCATTGAAAAATGTTGTTGGAAAACTCTGTTGACTGCCATCGCGCTCTCGGCAAAGGCTGAAAGTCCTCTCGCGCTGTTGTTTCTCCTTATGTTGTGCGGAGTGACGAGAGTTCTTTGATAAATGGGTGCGTTCAGGTACTTCATCCAAGGGTGTTCAAGCACGGAATCCGCGCTCAGTCTCAAACTCGCCTCCTTAACCAATAAATGCTGTATCAAATCCTTGGCTTCGTCGCTTATGTCGGACCACTCCGGATCCGGGAACTCGTACCGTCCTTCTTGAATGCTTTGGAATAAAAGTTCGCGACACCGGCAACAGTTTTCACCGTCTTGCCACCCGCAATCGTTTCCGCAATTACCGTAGAACGGAGGATACCCGCAGAGAAGAATATACATTATGACACCGAGAGACCACAAATCGCATCGCTTGTCGTAGGCCGTGAATTCTCCGACGAAAGCCTCCACAACTTCGGGAGCCATGAACTCGGCACTACCAACCTGACGAAAAAAGAAAGAAACCCTCCAGTTAGAACTTTCAGAGTTCAAAGTGCAGAAAAAACGAAACATCAAATTAAAATAAAATGTATTCTCACCGGTGTCAGAAGCTGTGGGGTAGCAATCGGGGATGAAAGACTGGGATTGAATTTTATCCCGGATCCAAGATCGAAATCACATATTTTAACGGGGGAAAGTTGGTCCTCGTATATGCACAAAATATTTTCCGGTTTCAAATCACGATGTGCTATACCTGGAGGGGGGGGGGGAAATCAAAATCATTTTCGAAAACTCTAAGTAAAAAAAAATGTATCAAACGGTGATGATGATGATGATAATAATAATAATACCTTTTTTGTGAAGGAATTGCAAAGCGCTTGCCAGATCCCGAATTATTTGACAAGCTTCACGCTCTGAAAAATGATTTTTTTCTTGTATTCTATCCAAAAGCTGACCCCCGACTACTTTTTCAAACACAAGATAAAACCTGCAAACAAACAAACAACAAACAAACAAAGAAACGTTTAAATCCAAAACGTTTTCCTTTTTCCTTTTTTCATTTTCTTTTAATTCTTTTGACAAATACCTTTCTTCATCTTCAAAAAATTCAACCAAATGTATGATATTAGGATGACCCTGACAGTGATGAAAAGTTTCAACTTCTTTGAAAACTCTCGACCTTGAATGTCCCGGAATTTTTTCAATCATTTTCACAGCATATTCTATTCCCGTGTATATGTTGATACAACTTTGTACTGAGGCATAAGCTCCCTCTCCAAGTATTTCTCCAGTCAATTTGTACAAATCTAAAATTAATAATGATACCGCACAAACGATTAGACTCTCGTTTTCTTCCCCCCCCTCTTTCTTCCCTTTTCCTCACGGTGGGACAACCCGGGAATCAAAAAGGGCTACACAGAATCAAGGTCTTACCTTGAAAGCATGAAGATACGACAGACGAATTCTTTTTCCTTCTTCTCTTTCTTCTCGCCTCTTCTTTTCTTGCTTGAACGTCATTCGAATCGTTTCCGGTTTTGTCGCAAATTGTAGCGAGGACTTCGCCTGAAACGATACGAAAACATTTATTTAAAAAAAAAAACTAGTAGTGTATGATCGATCGATTCGTTTCCATTCGAATCTCTGTGGGGGGCGGGGGAAACAATAAAATCTTTCCCGATATTTAAATCATAAACAAAAGTGCGACATCTACAACCACGACGACGACGACGACGACGATTCCATTGTCTTCGAGTTTAATTATAATTTGGCAACTCGGGTTAAGCAATATAAAAATAAAATAAAAAAATTCCTATGAGTCAGATTTGTTTGTTCGTTTGTTTGTTTGTTTTTGCGTTTGTAAAAAACAAAAAAAATTTTGCATAAACCTTGAAGAGAAAAAGTACCTCACGAACGAACAAACAAACAAACAAACAACTCAACAAAATTACGCACGACCGATGGTCATCATCGTCATCGTTGTCGTCATCATCGTCTTCTTTTGGATAAGTTCGGACTTTGATTTGTTTGAGGAAAAGCGTCCGACCGCACTCACGCACTCACGCACGCACGCACGCACGCACTTTAATTACGCATAAAAATGTGCGCAAAAAAAAAAAAAAACCGTAGAATCCGTAGAACGAACGAATTTTACACAGTCTGACATCATTTTCACATTATTATTATTATTATTATTTTCATTCTAGCAGTAAATTTTTAAATGCCGAAAACTTTCTCTCTCTCTCTCTCTCTCTCTCTCTCTCACTCTTATCATCTCGGGGGAGTCGAACGAAATGATAATGATAAAAACGACTATATATATACATTTTTTGTTAAGCAAACGGAACGGTTCCATATTTAAATAATAATAATAATAATGATAATAATACTTACGACAAACCGTTTGAGCTCCTTCCGATTCTTCAATTATTTTTTCAACCATTTTTCCTATTTTATTTAACTACACTAAAATCTATTTCCTTCTTTTTTTTTCAAAGTTTTTTTTTTTTTTTTTTCACTTTGCAATGATGGCAACAAGTATTATAATTTAATAATAATAATAATAATAACAATAACAACAACGTTAATCAATAAATAAAACAAATGAAAACCAATGAACGAAATTTTTAAAAAAAATCTTTCAAAGATAGTCAATACAGAAGGGATAGTCTACACAAGATGGATGGATGGATGAGAAAAACAAAACAACAACAGCAGTAGTGGTAGTGGTAGTAGTAGCTGTTCAATTTTTCTAGTGACACGTTATTTTTTTTTTTTTTTTCCTTTACGTCAGCTCTTTATTTGATGGCAACTCTCAACTCTCAACAACTGTAAATCAAACAAACAAATTGAAAAAAATAAAAAAAATTATTCTTTTCTCTTTCCTTTTCTTTTCTTTTCTTTTCTTTTCTTTTCTTTTTTCGCCATTTTTTTTGCGAGAGGTAGGGGGAGGGGAGGATGGAAGGGAAGGAGAGGCATAAACGCACAAAGTAAATTCTTTTTCTTTTTTCATTATTTTCCTTTTCCGATTCGAACAGGTTTTCGATAGGTTCGGATGCAAAAAAAAAAAAAAAGTAGTAGTAGTAATAATAATAATGATGATAATAATAATAATAAGACGAATATAAACAATTAGCAAATATAACAGAACTTGAATCCACTTTTGCCAAATCAGGTTTTCACTTGTTAATGAACAGTAGAAAAAAAAAAAAAAAAAACGACCTTGATTGAATTATAAACTTTAAATACGTGGCCGATTCCGATCGCATACGACGAGATGTTAATATAATTTACCCTTCCTCCTTCCCCCTTCCCCTACTCCTACTCATCGTTCCACCGCCTCATCCTTCCTCCCTCCCGCCGCGACACACCGCGTTCCGACGCGACGACCGTTAAACTCGCGTTCGCGTTCGAGAACGAAAATTTAAATTTTCAAAATTTATTCTTTTATTTTCGGGATTCTCGCGAGACATTTCAAACAAAAAAAAAAAAAAAAATCATCAAATTAAATTTTCCCTTCCCCTTCTCCCCCCTCTCTCTCTCTTTCTCTCTTTTTCTCAAACGATAAAAATTTATTTTGAAAAAAGAAAAGAAAAGAAAAAGAAAAATGGAGGTCATAAAATAAAGTTTCGAATTATTTTTTTTTTGAGTTTTATTTTACTAACTCATATATACCTTATCTCTCTCTCTCTCTCTCTCTTTTCCTTTTCCTTTTTTTAAATCGAATCACAATCATATATATCTTTACCACGTAAACATTTTTTATTTTAAAAAAAAATAGTCACGGTTTCACTTTTCTAGAAAATTCTACGAGACGACGTCTCTCCCTCATCGAAAATATACATTAAAAAAAAAAAAAACTCCGGAAAAAAATTAACTATTAACTATTAAATATAAAATGACGAAAAATCGCAATAAAAAAAAATTTAAAATAAAATCGTTGGCACATTTCGTTTTTTCATTATTCTTTTATCAGTTAATTAAAATATCCCGGTGGTGGTTGTAATTTTTTTTTTTTTTTTTGTTTGAGAACGCGGCGGCCATTTTGTCGTTCTTGTTTTTTTAACGGTCGAAACACACGGTCGAGCTTATCGTTTCCTTTTTTTCCCCTCCTACTTCTCTCTTAAACCGCTTTTATTTTAATAATGAAAATTGTAAAAAAAAAAAAATGAAATAAAAACCTATTCAAACCTGTTCGAAGAGAAAAGCAAAATAACAACGCATAAAAGAAAAAGCGTGTGACGACTTTCGGCAAAAGTAAAAAAAAAAAAAAAAAAAAAAAAGAGAAAAAAAAATTTCAAATTTAAAAAAATATTAATGACGTCACTCACACTTTTAACCGTTAAAAAACGAACGATCGTTTGTTCCAGAAAAAAAAAAAATCCAATAAAAAACGTTTGTCAACGTACGAAAACAAATTATTAATTATTAATTCCAGAACAAAAAAAAAAAAGGAAAAACTTAATAATAATAATAATAATCACTCCATAACACGCGATGTAAATCAACTTTTCATTATTTTTTTTTTTTAACAAAAAAAAAAAAACTTTCGAAAAAGCACTAAAATTTTTTTCTCATTCCTATAACCGCGCGAGATGTTATTCATCAACAGTAGCAGCAGCAGCAGCAAAACGCTCGCTCGCTCTTTCGCTCACTCTACCTCTTTCTCCTTCGACGTCTTTTAACCGACTGACGAATAACAATTTCACGTATTTACATTTATAACAATAATAATAATAATAGTATCGTGGATGAAACGACTTCACGCGCGAAGTCGTGGGCCAAGACTTTGCGACGTTGCCGATTCTACGAAAAATAAAAATTTAATACGAAACGATTGATTGTGCGATTATGTTTTATTCTCGAGAAAAGAGAAAAACACGATTTTCCTTTTTCCTCCTCCCTCCTCCTCTCTTTTTGCCCCCTCCCACTCCACTCCCCCACGTATTTAACGAGAATTAAAAAAAAAAAAAAAAAAATTTAAGACATTTAAATTTTTTTTTTTTTTTTTTTTTTATTAAATCACCCTCGGGGGGACTTTTGTTACTCACGTTTCGGTTTGCCAACGATCGTGCGGGGGGCGGGAAGAGGGAGTGAGAGGGGGCGAATTAATTTTCCGGGCGGTGCATGAATGAAAACGAGGAAAATTAATTGAAAATTTTTTTTCAACATTATCATTATTATTTTTCCTTTTGTTTACGAGACATTCGTAGAATCGTCGATGCAAGTATTAAATAAGCGTTTAATAAAACGCAATTTTTTCGAGCACCTGTGGCGTCGAACTTTTTTTTACATACACGCACCAAAAACAGACAAACAAACAAACAAACAAACAAACAACAACAACAACAATCTACGTCACGGTCAGTTTTTAATAATATTTCTTCTAGGAACTCTACATAATTTTTTATTTTTTTTTTTCGTCATTTATTTTACGTAATTTATTTACTACTACTTATTATTATTATCATTATTATCAATATTATTTCCAAAAACTCGTTTTTTATATAAAAAAAAAAAATTTAAAGTCATTCAATTTTGAATTACGAATTAACACGATATTACGCGACCGGTTAACGATTAATTGTTTTCGTTATTAATCCTCCCGCGCACCCTCCCCCCCCAAAAAAAAAAAATTAAACCCTAAAACGAATAATAATAATAATAAACGCGAAAACGATGCGTTTGTATTCAATCATCTCCTCGCTTTACATTAAATTTTTTCTTTTTTTAATTTTGACGATATCAATAACGTAATAACGATGATCGTGATAATGATGATAATAATGATAATAATGATAATAATAGAAAAGCCACGAACGATGAGCCCTGAACTCTCCTCTCTCGTCGAAAATTTTTCTTAATTAATCTTTTTACGAAGTAATTAACACACTCATATAGGAGAAAAATAAGAAAAGAAAACAAAAAATCTCTCTCTCTCTCTCTCTCTCTATCTTTCCCTCTTTCTCTTTTTCAAGTTTAAGGCCTTTTACCGCGTGAAAAAAAAAATTTCAAAAGGGGGGCCCAACACTTTTTTCGCGAACAAAAAAAACAAAAGCTCTCAGCCTCGTAGTCTTTTATTTTTTACATTTTATTATTATCATTATCATTATCATTATTATTATTATTATTATTATTATTATTATTATTATTATTATTTTCTCTACGTAATGAAAGAAGAAGCAGAAGGAAAAAACGTTTAAAAAATTCACTTTAAATTATATATATATATATAAAATGTGACTTGCACATGTTCTCGTTTTTTTTTTTTTTTTTTTTCCTCTTCTCATTTCTTAAACTGCGCAATTCAAGAGTCTGTGCGTGCGTGCGTGTGCGTGTGCATGTGTGTGTGTTCTTTAAAACATCTCTCCGTCTTTATTAAACTCGCGAGTCTTATCAATCTCTCTCTCTCTTTCTCTCTCTCTCTCTCTCACACATCACATGATTCGAATCCAATTGTTTTTTTGTTTTTGTTTTTTTTTGAAATCATTAGCCAATTGTTCTGTTATTTTATCATCATTATCATCATTATTTTTTTCATAGAGTAATAATAATTACAAGTTAAATAATACTACGTGCGTGCGTCATTTTTATTTTCATCCGGTGGCTTGCCTCCCTTTTTTTTTTTTTTTTTTCCTTTCGGAAAATTGCTAAGTTCACTCGTCGTCACTTTTTCACGGCCTACTTCTTTTCTTTTTTGTTCTGCGAGGGGGGTCGGTTACCACCGGTCTTTTCCGAGAAATACTCTTACGTCGTCATTTTGTTTTTCGTTGTTGTTTGTTGTTGTTGTTGTTGTTGTTGCAATTACGACTTGATAAAAGAAATCATCGCACGCATAAACGACGACGTCAAATGAAAAAAAAAAAAAAAAAAAAATTTAAATATCCACAACTCGCGTATCGATCGGTATTGGATTACGGACTTTAACGTACGAACGTCGCGCCATATTCAAACTCGATCGCGATTCGTTCGATAATTTCAACGTTGACGTTTAACGGGGGTGACCTTTTAAATTAAAAAAAAAAAAAAATGACGGCCTAAAATGACGAAAATTAAAATTAAAAAAAAAAACAAATAAAAAATTTGGCGGACTCCAAGTCGAATCCGATTCTCTTCTACGGGTTTTTTTTTTTTATAGTTCCGCGAAACGTCGTTTGTTCCTATATGACAACAACAATGATAATAATAATAACATTCGAAGAGGAAGAAGAAGAAGATGATTGTTTGTTTACGATATTGTTTTCCTTCGATTGTTGTTTGGTGTAAGAAATTTTTTTTCTTTTTCTCGTCGCGGTCACGAGGAAATGGTCCATCATCTCATCCTTCCCCCCCTCCTTCGACTTTCGCGTCGTTTATCTCACAATCGAGACAACTCGAAGTAAGGACACAATCACATCGACAGATAGCAAAAGTGGTGGTAGCAAAAACATGACCTTCGACATT